GCTAAAAAAAAAAAAAAAGACCCAAGTTGACAGTCTGCCCCTCTTGCCAGCTCAGGCAGGGACAGGCAGGGGAGGTGATTATGTGGGGACCTCCTCTGGGGATGGTGGCAGCTGTTTTTCTTAAAAGAGCCTGTGTTATTGGCTGCCCATCCTTTCCCAATCAAAAAACTCAGCCAGAAGAAGTACCAAATGCAGTGCCCAGGTCTTGTCTGTTCCTTCTTAACAATGGGAGAGAAATCTGGTTTAAGATAAACCATCTCAGTGTTGTCTCAAAATTCCCCATGAAGCACTTCTCAGGGGAGGCCTCATCTTGGGCTATTTTTTTTTTTCCAGCTCCAGAAGTCGAATTTATTAATTTTAAAATAATTATGTTAAATGAAAGGCCTCATTGCCTATTGGATGGAAATAGAGAATTGTACACACTCCAGCCCTGTGGCTCACAGGGAAGTGCCTCATCCTGGCTCAGTTTTGTTCACACTGGAGTGTGTGACCCTGGGAAATGGTAGAGGAAATATTTGCTGTGCAGGGTGGTCTTGGAACTCTGTTCTCTACACTGGAGCCCTTTCAAAGCAAAACTGAACAAACACACACCTTGAGGAGTTAAGAATCTGGATTTCACGGGCATCGGGCCTCACTCGTTCCCCATCGCTCGGCCCTGCACTTTGCTGTATTTTGAGCACATCAGGCCGAGCCCAGGTGTGGGTGCATGTGCCTGTGCTGTATGGCTCAGGTACACAAAGCAAACACGGAGGCCCGGTATCAGGCTCTTTCCAGCTGCTCTTGTTTCCTGTTAGAGAGAGCCCACGGGTCCAATATCTGCTGTGGCAGCTTCTGGATAGATCTGTGTACACCTTGGCTACATGCCGAGGTAGCACCCGCCCTGCCAGTCACACCAGCTGGCAGGTGCTACTTCGGCCACCAAAAGTGGTGGGGGCAGAGGCCACAGAGTTCCAGGGCCACCTTGAATTCCTCTTCATTTCTTCTGAATTAATTAAAGGAAATTTCATCAGACTTGAATCACTAACAAATTTTCTATTTCTCTCTCCCTCCCTACTTGTCTCTCTGATTTTTTTCTTTTTGTTGCCTTTGTTAATATCCACCAAAACCTTCCTTGTTGCTGCCCCATCCCTTCCGCCTTCTTTCCCCTAAATGGTGGTTGTCGTGCCATGGGGCGCTCACCCTTCTCCCCGTCCTGGGTGGGGCTGGCCTCACCCGATGGCAGTGTGGGGATATGGTCTTCTCTGCGTGACCATCATCTCCCTCTGCTCCCTCATGGGGGCCAGTGTGGTACCCTTCATGAAGAAGACCTTTTACAAGAGGCTGCTGCTCTACTTCATAGCTCTGGCGATTGGCACCCTCTACTCCAACGCCCTCTTCCAGCTCATCCCTGAGGTATGGCAAGCCAGGGCTCCTCACCCAGGAGCACACTGTCTCCTGGGGCAGCGGGCACAGTGGGAGGACCCTCCAGTTCGATGGAAGGCAGAGAAAGGAGGTCTTTTCCTTTAGGATTTAGGAAAGTGAAGCTAAGACTTAGGCAGAGCTAGGGGAGGCAGCTTAGCACAGGTTTAAGAGCTGGGTTCAAATATGAGCTTTACTATTGACAGGTAGGGTGACTTCAGGCAAGTCACTTGGCCTCTCTGTTTCCTCATAATGTAAAATGGGGAAAATACCAGGCCCTACTTGATGATGATGTCATGAGGATTATGTGAGTTACTATTTGTAAAATGCCTGGGAGGTGCTGTCTAACTGTTGGTGAAAAGATGTAGTGAAGTTATATCACTAATTTAGGGCTTTGGCACACATCAAACACACACTCAACAGAATCCATAGGTCACAATAAAAAGATCCACTCTCAGTGGGTATTATGAGGCAAAGGTAATCCAAATAGAAAGTCTGGTGTCACGTGTATTGAAGGCACCTTTGCCCCTTGGCGCAGGTTAGTGAGAAAATTCTCCACAAAAGCGGAGGAAGCTCAGACTTTGTGAAGTTTGGCAGGCGGCCCCGGAGAAGTTTCGTCTGATTGGGTGTCATCTACAGCAGACAGTAAGCTGTCTACTAACCGCTAATGACAGTAGGCTGGAAGCGTTTCACCATAGGTGGTCTGACAGGCCCGGACAGGGCGGGAGATGAAACACAAAGATGATGCCACATGCTGCTTCTGACAATTTTGTTTTCCAAGATGCGTTTCTGTGTTTTCTTAGTTGATCCTTAGATAAACTCTGTGATGTCTAGAGAACAAGTAATGTTTTACTCATTTACCAGATAAGGAATCTGACCTGGACAAGAGCCCGTATTCCAGAGGCCAGGTTTATAATTCCTGAAGCCGTGCTCCTGTCCTCTGCCGTCTGTCGTGGCTTTTTGTGGAGAACTGTTAATTGCCTGTTTTTACTCCACTTTTCCCTTTGACTGTCCTGGAACTTGACCTTTATGTCTCTTAGAAAACTATACCAATGAGTAGACATTGCATTTTGTCCCTTAAAATCAGAAAGGAAAAACACTTAAGTTTTAGGCAGCCCAGAGCTCTTGGTACTTACAGTCACTTTTATCTTGGACCCATTCGTGAGAAGGCTGGAATTTATTCCCTTAAGGGGGCAGTTTCCTATCAGAAAACTGAAGAGCAGGTCACTAAACTGTCTCCCAAGGCCCCACTACAGGTCAGGAGCATCCCTGAGAAAGGAATTCTTCTGATTTCTACTCCTGTCTACTCCCCAATGGATTCTATCTCTCTTCCCCTTCCATAGTAAGTGGGGTTTCCAGAGAGAACTCAAAACCCCCAAAATTGACACATGCAGCGACACAGTCTGCTTTCTCTGCCTTGTGGTCACTGGGAGGCCTGTGGTCAGGAAGATGCCGCAATTCTTACTATTTAACTGGGAGATGGGTTTCCCATTTTAGAAAGTATAATTACACATGCCCCCCTCCCTTTGTGCTCACAAGCAGATCATGCAGGGACATGAGAAAGCAATGAAAATAAACACGTCTTCTCTATAAATGTGGGATTTGCCAGCAGAGTCTGGCAAATGGAGAAGTGGAGACAGCATCCTCATTAAAAGCAGAAAACTGTCTACAGGCTATTCTTCCTGACAGTACAGTTCTGAAGACGTTCTGTCTTTTGCATCAGAAAATAAACTAGAGAGAACCTAACAGGCCTGGTGATGGGACATTCAGGAAACATCAAGAGTTAGCTTTTGCTGAAAGGAGATGGGTAGATGACAGATCTCCCAGTGCGCTTGTCTCCTTTCCTACAATCACAGAAGTGGTTAAGAGATGAGAGGGGACCAGTGGAGACTGTTTATTAAACTCATTTTCTTTTCCTGGGTCCACAGGCCTTTGGTTTCAGACCTATGGAGGATTGTTACGTCTACAAGTCCGCAGTGGTGTTTGGGGGTTTCTATCTTTTCTTTTTCACAGAGAAGATCTTGAAAATGCTCCTTAAGCAGAAAAACGAGGTGAGGTCCAGTTGTTGGTAAGGGAGGTGCTCCTGGGGAAAGCATCTGTCTCCAAAATGCTGTGTGTCGTGGTAGTGGGTCCTCAGCACCACTGCAGGGGACTCCGGGGGAGCAGAGCCCACAAGTTTCATGAGCAGACACCCCATTTCACCTCACAAGGGTAATAGCAGGGGGCAGGGGAGGACCAGAAACAAGATCTGGCTTGTGTGCCTTTTACTAGGCAGTTTATTCCCCGTTTCATTCTAAATGATTTCCTTAACATACTTTTATACCTTTAGGAGACGCAGGAGGGGCTGGAAATGGACATGCACTGTGTATGAAGTATGACCGCAAAGAAATAAGACTGATGTTTATAGTCTAGATCCAGGAAGATGCCGTTAGTGCCTGCCATGTAGTTATTCCCCAAGTAGTTGCTGAATTGAATAAAATTAGCCATTGCAAAGGACTCTAAATATTTTGATCAGTGCTGCCTCTCTGGAATGAGTGTGGGCCCTGCGGTCACTGCTGTGATATCTGTCCTGTGCCAGGCCCTTGCATTCACCTTGGCTCAGCTTTCTTAACATGCTGGGTTTCTGTGGGTGTTGCCTACTTGTGTGTTTTTTCTGATGGTGGGAATGGGGTCTTCCCAGTGCTCACAGCTTTGACTCAGACAGGTCTCAGGAAGCTTGATGGGCTTGGTGAGTGTTGTCCTCACCGCTTCTTGTGGTCCCTCCAGCATCATCACGGACATAGCCATTATGCCTCCGAGACGCTTCCTTCCAAGAAGGACCAGGAGGAGGGGGTGACGGAGAAGCTGCAGAATGGGGACCTGGACCACATGATTCCTCAGCACTGCAGCAGCGAGCTGGACGGCAAGGTCCCCGTGATGGACGAGAAGGTCATCGTGGGCTCACTCTCTGTCCAGGTGAGTGGGCCAGCCGCTGCTGGGTGAGGACCTTTGAGAGATAATGGCCTTGATGACTCAGGCCTACCTTGAAGGTCCATCGTCCGCCCCCTGACCTGGGGGCTGTGGGGACTGGCTTTCTTGTAGGACCTGCAAGCTTCCCAAAGTGCCTGCTACTGGCTGAAAGGCATCCGCTACTCTGATATTGGCACTCTGGCCTGGATGATAACCCTGAGCGATGGCCTCCACAATTTCATCGACGGCCTGGCCATCGGAGCCTCCTTCACTGTGTCGGTTTTCCAAGGCATCAGCACCTCGGTGGCCATTCTCTGTGAGGAGTTCCCACACGAGCTAGGTGAGTACACGTGCCCCCCAGCCCCGTTCCACTTTGCTGCCTCGCTACTGACACCAGCACCGTTCTTATGGCTGACTCCTCCCTCACTTCAAACTGCTTTTTGTAATTAATACGTTCTTTATGCGATGTGAAATCTAACCACTAATTCTTAACAGTTGAATTAATAGTTACTGTGGCTCAGTTTCCTCACCTATACGGTGGGGTAGATAACAGTACCTGCCTTGTAGATTTATCATGAAGATGAAAGGGGAAACTAGTGAAAGGCACTTCCTATTCATTATTTGTTACATCCTATTAATCTCCCAAAGACTGAGATGCATGGTAGAAGGCTGGTGGGTGGAAGAAAGTAGATGAGCCAGGGGTTGTTGGGAGACTTTTAGTTTTATCGGAGGGAGTGTAAAATGTCTGGGCTTTGGAGGCTCAGAGACTCAAGGTCAAGTCCTGGGTTTGCCATTTATTGGCTTGTGACTGTGGGCAAATTACTTAACTTCCCTTGGTCTCAATTTTGTTTCCTAAAAATACTATTCATTGAGGAGGGAAGCTCTTATTTCACCATCAATCGGAAGAGAAATGAGGCTGTTGCTAGTTGGTTGCCTATTTTGCATTATTTTCAGCCTCTTGTCTGGACGTACATGGCCAGTTTTGAAATCTGAGATAGCTCTGGACATGAAGATGAAGATGCCTTTGACTTGTCACTGCCATCTCATGTCTGGGGCTGTCTTGATTTTCACGCAGACTTTATCCATACTTGAAGCAGTCTGTGTTCATCCTTCTGTCTGTCCCACATCCTAGAGTGACTGTCCATACTCTCCCCTCTGTTCTCCCCACCCTAGGAGACTTTGTCATCCTGCTCAATGCTGGCATGAGCATCCAGCAAGCACTCTTCTTCAACTTCCTTTCTGCCTGCTGCTGTTACGTGGGTCTGGCCTTTGGCATCCTGGCCGGCAGCCACTTCTCTGCCAATTGGATCTTTGCCCTGGCTGGAGGAATGTTCTTGTATATTTCTCTGGCTGATATGGTAAGTCTTGCATAGTTTATACCGCGGGAAAATGACAAAAGCTGGACTTTGTCATTGAAGTCATTAGGAGGACAGCTAAGGAGATGTTTGTTAGTTTTTGTTAACAGCTTTATGGAGGAATCATTCACATACCACAAAGCTCACCTATTTAAGGTGTGCAGTTCAATGTTTTTAAAGGGACATTAGATTTTAAAGAACAAAAAACTTATGTTTCCATTAGCATATGTCCTAAAAGAAAATGATTACTAAACTCAACTCCAGGGTCCAAAGATTTGAACTGTGCAGGTCCATGTGTACATGGATTTTTTTTCAACAAACACCTGTACTGCTTTCAATCTGCGGTTGGGAATCCATGGATGTGGAGGGCTGACAATGTGCTTTGTTTTAAGCCATTTTACATAGGGGACTTGAGCGTCCACGGATTTTGTTATCTGTGGTGTAGTGGGGGATCCGGGAACCAATCCTTCATGATACTAAGGGACAGCTGAGTTTTGGGGGAGTCAAGTTACACATGGATTTTTAACTGCACGAGGGTCAACGCCCCTAATCCCCATGTTCAAGGGTTAGCTGTAGTGGTAACCACCTTGGAGAAAGTCTGTTACATTCAAGTTCTAGGGGCTATTGCTATTATCTTTGTAAACCAATTGATATGTACAGGGTGTCCCCCAAAAATGTATACACACTTTGAAAGATTATAAAGTCAATGTTTATTAACATACAGTTCATTTTCAAAATTTAAAAGAATTTACAGAAGTGAATGATTTTTTTTGTCAATACCTGTTTTCAAAGTGATGACCATGCTGGTCCAGGCACTGCTGATAACATGAATTAATGGAATCGCAAACTTGAAGAACCATTTCGTTCAGTATTTGTGTACCCTCAACTTGTCGACTGTTGCAGTTTTGTTCTGTAAACTTTATCTTTTATGTGTCCCGGTATAAAAAAGTCTAGTGGAACTTTAGGATAAAATTCTTTTGTTCAAAGCTTAGTCTGCCTTCACCCATTATTTCAAATCAGTTAAACTTGAAAAGGAGTGAAAATTAAGTGAGTTTATCAGCTGTTAAAGTGTGTATACATTGTTTTGGGATACCTTATATGTATATGACAGATATATATCTTAATTATTTATTATATAATTTTCACCCCAATAACAATAACTATTATCATAAGTCATGTTATATACTAATTGCTACGATTACCATGTATAAATATTAATAGAATAAATGTGATGACAATTATTAGCTATAATATCTTTATGGGACTGAATTCTCCTGGACATACAAAGTTAGGAAAGGAACTGCAGCGGTCTTGTGTTTTCTCTCCTTTGTCAGTTCCCTGAGATGAATGAAGTCTCCCGGGAAGATGAAAGGAAGGGCAGCATGTTGGTCCCCTTTGTCATCCAGAACCTGGGCCTCTTGACTGGCTTTGCCATCATGCTGCTGCTCACCATGTATTCAGGACAGATCCAGATTGGATAGGGCCCTGCAGGAGTCAGAGGAACTGGAGGTGTAGGGCCCTTGGCTGCCTGAATCCCTGGCCCTTGGACCCGGCACCCACGAAGCACCTCGGGAGTGGCGGTTCTGTGAGAAACTGTGACACGGACTGTATTCCTGCGCTAAAATGTCAGCTGTTTTTAAAATGCTCTGTGCTGGTAATAAGCTGCCTGGTAACGGTCTCTAGGTAGCACCTCTCTCCCTTTACTCTCCCTCCTTCTCAGAGTGACTCTGGAACCTGAATGGAGTTTAGCAGACAAGCTTAATTTTTTTCTCTGGTTACCCTGGCCCCTTTCTCTTTGAACCAGTGCTGAGAGATTTGGGACCCTTTGCCCCACAATGCAAAAATGCAGGCAGCAGTCCTAACCTGGTTAGAAATATCAGGAGGTGAATCTATAGTTTAAGGCCTATGAATCTAAATGTGTATCCTGGACCTTAAGTGGATTCGCCTGTATTTTACAGAAAAGGTACAAGAGACAGGAGTTCCACCCATTTTTCCAGTCAGTTCAGTTGCCTCGTCTCTCAAAGAGAACACAGAATTGGAACAGAAGAGTAGGGCAAAGGGGAGGCGAGGTCATCCTGAGTGAGAGGGGAGGTAGAACCCTTGGTGTGTGTCCTGCCCGGACAGTTGCTCGTGCCCACGGGAAGCTGGATGTTGATTTATGGCTGGATATGGTGTTTCCTGGCCGTCTGGGAGAGCTAGCATGTAGGTTCAGTTGCCTGGACCTCCCCTTCTTTCAGAACAAGTACAGAGGGCAGAGAAGGGAAATCAACTGGTTTTGTTGTGATTCCCACCTCTCTTTCTCAATTCCTTCTTCTGAGACTTTTGAGCTGCCTCCCTAGAAGTACATTCTGAGCACATTCACGATGCTGGTATTAGTGGGGAGACTGCACAAACTTTCCTCCCCTGGCCCACACGCCTGCTATAAAGTGGCAAGTTGACTTGCGGAGTCAGAGTACAACTTGTGCTCTTTTTGACAAGGGTACCAGGAAAGGAGTGAATGCAGACACCATTTAGGATTTGCTAATTGCACAAATAAGTACGAACAGTAGAACCCTGAGGTGTAACGTCCAGAACTTTGGTTGGGCTCTGCAGATGTGTGCAGAATAGACGACCTACTGATTACTCTTGAATGGGTTTCAAATGGCACTGTCTAGGTCACCCTCCCTCGCCCCAAACAAGAAAGGGCGAATCCTGTATTGAATATTAATTGCTCTAACTCTCTTCAGAAAGTGGATCGATAGACTTGTCTGTGAGACTGTAGGCCAGCCTCTTCGGCACTGTGGAGCCCTCTTCTCAGAACTCTGGCTTCAAGGGGAGCTCATCTCCAGGTTCACTAGGTGAATTGATTTATTATTATCATATTGATAATGTGAGATTCTCTAGCCACTTTGGGGAGCCAGTCTCTCCAGAAGCCTTTCTTAGTGGTGCCCACAGTTGCAGCCCAGGGGTTGTGTTCGAAAACTGATTTGTGTGTGTGACTGACAGGGGCTGGTTCATTGCCAGCACCTGTGGGTTTTTTCTCTCATACCCAGAAAAACTTTCCACTATACAGTAATTAAAAGCAGACTCTATTTTGTTTTCTTTTTTTCCTTAGGAAACATCCCTCAAACTAGGAATCCTCTTGAAAAGAACATGAGCAGGAAAACTGCTGGTGATGCTTTATACTTTTTCTCCTTCTTTAGCCGGGTGACTGACAGATTTGAGAATGGGCTGAAGAAGGAAAACAGTTACCCAGATTCTAGATTAAATATCAGGACTGTCTCCTGATAGGATTATGGTCCAGTTTTACCAAAGAAGCAATTCCTTGAATGTGGGAATCTAACTTTTTATATCGTTGTTATTGTTACTGATTCTTTGTCTTCTCTGTTTTATTTTTCTCAACTTGCTTTCAGGAGCTAGCAGAAAATAACACTCAAACTTTAAGACTTTAGAAGATTTTGCTTTCCTTAATTCACATTGATGTATTAAACTTATAATTTTAGCATTCCCTATAGATCATTCCTTACATTATTCTTGGAGTAAAATACTAAGTTAGGGTTAGTGGGTTTCTAGTTTTAGAAGGAGCTCAAAAATATAATCTTTAACAGATTAAAAACATTTGAAGTAGTAGGGTGCTTTTCCTTTCTGTGCACATATGTATTAAGAACCTTCCTTTCATAGACAGAGGCCTCAAAGGGAAGTTCTCTTTAAACTGTCATTAGTCCCGAGGCCAGTCCTGCCTGGAGCTTAGGAAGGGAGAAAACACTCAAACCATGTGACTGATTGTATGTTGCCATTGGCAACAGACCTGCCTTGTGAGTTGAAAATGTGGCCGATTTCTTTTGGACTTTCAAGTGTTGAATTTGCTGTTTTAAAAGCATTTGTATATATTAGAAGTCTGAGGGGTAGTGAATTTTGAGGACTTGCAACTCTGGCATTCGCATCTTCCACCTCTGTCCCCAGATGAACCAGCTCCTGTTAATGATAGCGAGGAAGGTCAGTGTCATGTGCAGGAGCAGTGACTTGGGAGCAGGGGCTCTGCTGCTTCTCACCCTCCCCTGCCATGCAGGTTGCCTTCCTTCTTTGCCTCCAAAGGCCTTTTGTGTCTAGTGTCAACTTGGGGCTTTCTGTCATTAGTCCTTCACCCTGGGTTTAAAAAAATGAAAGCTTCTCTGTTTGGGTATCCTAAGACCTGTTTTTAGTAAGTATTCTTCCAAAGAGATGGCAGTACGCTGGAAATCTGCTTAAAAATGAAAAGTTGTCTGATTTTTGCAAGAGAGGTTAGGTTTTTATTGTTCATATTTCCTTTTACAGTTCTGCAGTTCCATCACAGTATTTTTTAAAATAACTCAGGAGTTATGAGGATAAATTAGAAAAGAAAATAAGTTATATGGATTTTAAATGTTTTATTTGTAAGATTCTAGAAATAAAGCTATATTCTGTGACTATTGAATTCTAAGCGTGATCTTTGCAGTAATGTGGGTGCAATGATGCCTGTTAAACACAAGGTGGCAATGGTGTCTCACTGACTTCAAAGCTTTGTTTTATTGGTCCAGCTTACACTAGGAGAGATTTTAGAAGGAATCTTAAATATAACATGTTCATTACATTTTTTTTTTTTTTAATCCTCACCTGAGGATATTTTTTCCATTGCTTTTCAGAGAAAGTGGAAGGTGGAGAGAGAGACATCGATGTGAGAGAGACACATCAATTGATTGCCTCCCTCATGCACCTGCACCAGGCTGGGGATTGAGCCTGCAACCAAGGTACATGCCCTTGACTGGAATTGAACCCAGGACCTTTCAGTCTGCAGACCTACACTCTAACCACTGAACCAAACTGGCCAGGACAAGCATGTTTATTTTAAATGATTAATTTATCTTTTATGGGTCTTGTGATTTCACTGACATTGCATGATGGAACTGTGGTGTTTCCTAAGAAGAGCTTTCCCTTGTTATAAATCCATGAATTAAAACTTGAGTAGTACATTTGGCTCATGTTAACCACATCTCTATGTCTTACAGGGAAAAGTTCTGTCATAAGATTTAAATTCTGAATCCTTATTTATGTTTAGTCATAGGACCAAGAATTTGTTTGACACTGTAAGTGAGCAGTAAAATAAAAGAATTGAGGTGATTTTACTGCTATATACGTTAGAGGTTCCCAGGTGCCTATTGCTGAGTCCTTTCACTTTAAAAAAAAAATACTTTCATTGCCCTACCTGGTTTGGCTCAGTGGTTAGAGCGTCGGCCCCATGGACTGAAGGGTTCCTGGTTCATTTCTGGCCAACAGCATGTCCATCAGTTACAGGCTCGATCCCCAGCCCTGAGGCTGGGATGCTTGTGGGAGGCAACGAATTGATGTGTCTCTCCCACAAATTGTTTCTCTTCCCCTTCTACTATCTCTGAAAAGCAATGGAAAAAATATCCTCTAGTGAGGATTTAAAAAAACAAAAATTTTTTTGATTAGAGAGAGGGGAAGAGAGAGAAACATAGATGTGAGAGTGGAACATTGATTAGCTGCCTCCTGCATGCCCCCTACCGGGGATCAATCCTACAACCTGGGCATGCGCCCTGACCAGGAATCGGACCAGCAACCTTTTGGTGCATGAGTTTTTGAAACTCATGGGTAATTGATTGAGTGGTTCATATTGGTCCTGTAAGTTGCATTAACTAGCTACTATACTAGACTGCTATCTGCTGTTCAGAATGACCTTCATTTCATCCTTTGCTTTGTGCTGCCTCTCGAGAGCCTTCCCAGGCTGGGATTGGTGCCTCCCTGCACACACCTGTTACTGGAATTAAACTGTAATTGCTGCTGTTCTCTACACACCAAGTTCCTTCTGGGTGATGCTATGTCTGGTTTCCTTCTGTGATTTCGGCACCTGCCACCCAGAGAGAATGAATGAAAAGAACACATGAAGTGCCTATAAGTTGTGTGTGTGTGAGCATGCCCCTTTTCCACTGGCAGCAGTTCCTGTTGTGTTTTCCTGTCCCTGGTGTTGGTCTTGCTTATGCCCTGTAACCTGGTCCTCCTTCATTTAGAAACATTTGAGAGAGGTGATTGTGGCCCATATCGAACAGAGCTAAGCAATGTAAACAGGTCACTGAGGAGATTAAAACTTGGATCTTAGCCATGTCTTTGTAATACTGTTAGAGCTAAGCCATTTGGGACCTTTTTGGTGGAAGGTGAATGACCTATTGTGTTGCTTCTGTATGCTCTTCCTTACCATTCAGTGATGCTGAGATCTGATTTGAGCAAAATCCATTTCAAGAAATAATAAAGACACCAAATGTGGACACAGGGCTTTTGATTTGTGGGAAAACAAGATGTTGGTCTATCTTAAAGATTTTCTACTCTCAGTGACCTAGTATGAAATACCTGGATTTCTGAGGAAGGGTAGGTTAGAATCCCAGCAGGAGTAAATCCACCCTTCTAGAATAAAATGAATTACATTCCATTTAAAATAGAAAGAACTGGTGGTTGGAAAAGATCCACGGGTCTTATCAGACCTTAGCTAAGTATGTTTAGAGCTGCTAGCCAAACACCATTCTTCTTTCCAATATCACAACCCCTACTTGCCAGATGTCTATTTAGGGTTATTTTAAATGAAGGAAGGGTGTTGGCTACCCTTCCTGTATAACAGCAATCTTTGACCCTGGCCAAAGTGGGTGGGATTCTAAGATGGTAGCATCAGTTGTAGTTAAGGAATAACCCAGTGTTCTCACTCTGGCAATCATAAGCCAAGAAGTGGCTCCTCCACTAGGCTCTGGATTTCCCCCCACTCAGTGTTTTGCTAATAGATCTTTGGAACATGGAGGTTGCCTAAGAATCAATTTAGGCAATAATCCACATCATTTTTAAATAAATACACATGTAATAGAAAGCCTTCAGGAAATTCCTAGTGGAGGCCGCTGAAAAATCTTCTGATGAAGTAGTTCTAAATGTGAAATGCACTCTTAAAATATATATTATCCTGCTTTTGGTTCTTTATTCCTTTTGTGAGCACATTTATTTAACATGGGAGGTGGGGAATTATAGTCTCTGTCAGTATATATGGGGTGGTAAGGAGACAACCAGAAGGGCTTTTGCCCCGAGTATGAGGCTGTTCTGGCTACAGGCTGGGATGTGGGGAGCACACTGAGGGGACAGGAAGTGTGTAATAGGGGAAGCTCTGCACACATCCTTGGGACCACAGTCCAGGCCCACCCAGTCACCAAAGCAAGAATAAAATAAGGTGCAACCCTGGGGTTGGGAGATGCTGAACAGGAAGGCACTGGGTGCACCAGTGTCCACAGCCCACATTTAGTGATGCCAGGTCTGGCACACCTGGCCATACCCTCTTATCCAATCACCCCTATGTCTGTCCCTCTCTGAACAAGGCAGTGTGCCTATGTAGCTATCGGAGGCAGCATAGGTCTTAAGGTAGTGGTTTCCAGCTTTGGCCACCATCATGCTGCTGTCTGAAGGTCAGTGCCAGGCCCTATGGCTCTGCAGATGTGTTGATACAGAAGAGGAAGGAGCCATTGCATACCTGGATGTGGCTTATTGACCAGGTAAGCTACAGGATGTTCCCACTGGAGGCCACAACTACACCCGTGGGGGAGCTGAACTGCCCATTGCCCTCGCTGTGGAAACCAGACTCAAAGAGGAACTCTACTGGCACTGTACACCTTCAATGAGAGGTTATGAAAATCCATCACTGCAATCTCACACCCACAAAATGGGGCCCAGCCGTCAGTGGCCCCACGTCCCCCAAGATGGCCAACCAGCTTCTCATTGGGCTGGAAGGTGAAGACACATTGACTTGTCAACCACAATGATATGTCCATTCAGGTCTAGAGCCACTCCTTTGGGGCCCATGGGGCTTCCCACTCTAATCTTGGTTTTGAACTTGCCCTCAGGGAAAGGGATGCTGACCCAACTGTATTGTCTGCCATGATAATGTCCACTGCCACACCTGTGGAGCACTGTAGCTGCCCAGGTGAGTGCCCTCAGACCCCAAAGTGGACCTTGAACTGGCCCTGGCCCTCATTGGAGAGAACCGGATACGTTGGTTGTCGATGTCTGCTACCACTAGGTCACCCCTGCTAGCTGCAGACCCACCTGTGAACTGGTGAATGCACCTTTCTTCCTCCCACAACTGCCAACAGGGTTGTCTTTTCGTTTGCTGCCTGTGCTGTACTGGGAGCTGAGCCTGCATACCGCCACCTAGTGCATGTGGCTGCCTGAGCAGCAGAGTGTACTCAAGGTAGCAGGACCCGGAATGCTGCTGCTTAGCTATTTTTAAATACATCAAAATTTAAGAATGACACCCAAGTCAGGTGAAAATTTTTTACAAAACATAACTTTAAGTTGTGGGTTTTAAGGGGAAGAAAAACAACTAATTCAATAATGGAGACTTTCCCCCCTTAAGATAAAGTATTAGGT